TGGATTGCTTCGTTTTATTTTTACATTGCAAAGATAACCAAAGATTTTCCTTGGATTTTGCTAATACAGCCAAATTATTAATCAAGGGAAGTAACTATGATTAGACTATTTTTTTTATCTGAAATTTCTTTTACTGGTCAGTCGGGATTATCACACACTTATAAGATCAATGCCATATTGGTTAAAACATTTGAAAGTTTTAACATGTTAATTTTATACTGTCTTTGCATCGTTCAAAAGAATAATCATTAAAGAAAATTTTGATATAAAAATTGTGTATATCCAAAGCAGTACAGAAGTAGAGATTTTTATTTTTGTTTTTTTTTTTTTTCACATTTTAGGCCACTATTTACACTTAGAGTTAACAAAACAGATTGCACATTCCTGTGTCTGCCAGAGTGACTAGCTAATCCCTGTTGCAGATACTTGCTCAGGCACATTTGTTTCTCCAACCTGTGATTTATACTACAACTATGCTGTGTGGATGTTAGTTACAGTTTTTGGGAGTGGTTACAAAATCTGGTGATAAGTCGAACAAGGTTGGTCACAATGATTTGTGACTTCATACTAGCACAACTATTGACAGTTTCTGAACAGTCCAGAAGCCCGTCTGCATATTGAAGTCTTCTGTTGGTATAAGTAGGGAAATTGTATTAATTTCTGGCTTGCTAGGCCTGCTGTGTAGTTTACAGCACCTGGTATTCTACCAAAGTTGATGGAAAAAGTACTAATGATTTATTATTTAAGCATACACACACATTTTTTCTTTCATTTTTTGATCTGATGAAAGCTAGAAAGGCAAAATGCATAATCAAATCTCGTTTCTATGAAACGTTTTTTTCATTTGTCATACTTCTTCGAAACTTTGTTGAATTCTATATCCTATTTTATACACATATTTTATATTATATATATATATATATATATATATTTTGAATAGTAGTCTTTCTTTTATTCATGTTTTGCTAAATATAACAGGCAAGAATATTTTGTAATTTTTTTTTATTTTCCTTCTTTCCTTGCAATTTTTTTAGGAATATGATGTGAAACTATGTGTCTGTGTATATATATATATATATATATATATATCCTTCACTAATAGCAAGACTCAGAGTTTTATGCACAACACAATCTTCAGGTTGATTAATATAATTAAAATTTGTCACTTAGCTGATTGATATTATATAGAGTGCCTAAAGTCCGTATACATAGGAAAAAATGCGTACTTTCAACACTTTATTGAATTGAAACATTAACAAATAACGTCTTCAATATGATTTCCATCATTTGTGATGCAAAGGGTGATGTGCTTTGCAAGATTCACATGAACTCAATATAATAACGCTATATTGCCATCAAATTTAACAATTTGAGCCATGACCACCGATTTACCAGTGGTAGAGAAAAAAAAAATGACGTAATGCCCAGCCACCAATTGAATGGTGGATAAACACTTGTAACTATATTTATATCTACTGTGAAACATTACATACTAATTATTTGTGAATTTTGACTCAGGAGCTCAGGCAGAAGGGTTAAGCACGTTCATGCTTTATGTGTTCAATCAAGTGTGTTGCCTCTGTGAGTTTCACTGAGTTCATAGAGTACACCTTCTCCTTTAGAATACACCAGAAAAAGAAGTCAATTCTTTTTTCTTTCGACAAAACCATGTTTAATTTGTAGTGGTAAAAAAAAAAAATATAGTTAATGAGATTTCCTGTGTCCAGACTTTTGGATCACCCTGTATTTAGCACTCTAACTAGGGTTTTGTAAACAAAACTTTTTGTAATTGTTCTGTTCACTCATCAGAAGGTATCAGCAATTGACTGTGGATTTTCTCATTTTCATATATCTCTTACTTATTATAAAACGCAGATTGTGTGTGTGTGTGTGTGTGTGTCTGTAACGTTTATATATTGGATCGGATTTCCTACATTTTTCAACCAATTTCAACAAAACTTCACAGGACTACATAAAATTACCTTGTAGTGGTTCTAACAGCGCCAAAAATGGGAAAAATATAATTGTTTTTGCACAAAATCAATTTGAAAACACAATTAAGAGACCTCGTGAAAATGGAAGGGGGACAACTCACATCAGGTTGTTTGTGTGTGTGGGTTACTTTAAATATGGGAGCAGATTTCCTATATTTTTCAGCCGATAAAACAAAACTTCATTTTTTTTTTTTTTGGCAGGTTTTTTTGTGTTTCTTATTCTCTTGCACACACTTTTCTTTATTTTTAACATTCAGAATGCTTTAAAAATTCCATTTACAAGACAATTATTTATAATAAAATTCTATTCAATCAGTAGACTCATAACGATTGAAAACAATGTTTTTGTTTGAGTTTGACCAATTCATAAAAAATAAAAAAAAAAAAAAACAAGACATGCGTGTCCGTCAACCTTAAACAATAATCTAACGATCTCTACTGATTATACGAATACAAACATCGGATAAATTCTTTATCTTTAGGGAAAGATAATGAAATCTAAACATACACAAGTCCTAACTAAAAATAATAACCGAACGGGAAACTACTTTAAATACACATGGTGTCCAATTTTTTTTTTTGTATTCAATAAGTAAAAATCATAAATTGTAAAAGATTATTATTACAGAAAGGCTACTAAATGAATAAGATTTGTTAGATCATAATTAATAAACCCAAATAAAGTTAATATTTTTTTGTATTAGAAACAACGAGTGGAAAATATATTCAAATCAGAATTCTAATTATGAAGGAGATCACCACAAGCAAAATATGCAATTTTATTACTGTATTCAATAAGTAAAATCATAAATTGTAAAACTAAAAAGATTACAGAAAGGCTACCTACATTTTTCAACCGATTTCAACAAAACTTCACTTTTTTTTTGGCATGTAGTGTTTCTTATTGTCTTGCACACTTTTTTTTTTTATTTTTACATTCAGAATGCTTTAAAAATTCCATTTACAAGACAATTGTTTATAATAAAATTCTATTCAATCAGTAGACTCATAACGATTGAAAACAATGTTTTTGTTTGAGTTTGACCAATTCCTAAAAAAAAAAAAAAAAAAAACTAATTAAGACATGCGTGTCCGTCAACCTTAAACAATCTTTGTCAATTTTATTTTTCAGTCTTTATGATGGTGGATACTTGATCTATCTCTTACTGTTATATCCCCGGGCTCTACTGCTAGTATGCGTGTGTGTATATATATATATATATATATATTTATTTCTAAATGTATAATTTATTTTATCTTATATTTTTTTTATTCTTTAATATAACCTATTACATTTATATAAAATATAATTTTACTTAATATTATTATAAATTATCTAAATATGACTTATTTTTAATTTATTTAAATATATCTTATTTTTAAATATAACTTGTCTTTGGAAGAGTATTTTTAAGTATGATTTTGTATTTTTAAACCAAACTTTATATAATTTTAAGTTTTTTAAAAAATCCCCCTTTTTCTCTTAGTTTCTAATTAACATTTCATTCTTCATATAACCCTAATTTAATGTCATAAGGTTAATATCCAGGTTTAATTTTATAAAACCTCTTCCCTTTAACACTAATATCTCCGCCCCGACCACTTTCTCATGCCTTTCGTCTGACTGAAACATTGCAATGGATAAATTCTGTATTAGTTTTTTTTTTGTAGCTGTCACAGTTAAATTTCTAATTCCAACACAAACTGAGTCTATACCAGGGTTGAATAAGACTGATAAATTTTTCGTTGGTCGAAATAAGCCTATTCCCCATATGAGGTAATTTTGGACTGTTTTGTGTACTAATTATTTGCTCTGTAATAATAAATACATTGAGCTCTCTCTGTGGATCAGTTTTAATATTTTATATTACTAGGATCCACTTGGATTATATACCAACGGATTTATTATCTTTACTATATATCAAGTGCCCAAAAAGTTTTTGCCAATTTTTATAAAAGAAATTAAAGATGCATATTTAAAGCCTTAAATGTATTTATTCATCAAAATATGAACCATCACATTCTATGACCTTCTCCCAAAGGTGCAACAACTGAGTAATGCCATTTTTGTAAAAGTCCTTAGTTTTACTTTGGAAAAAGTTATGCACTTCCGTTTTCAAGTCATCTTCATTATTAAATGTCCTGTTCTTCATATGATTATCTAAGCCTAAAATCAAGTGAAAATCTGTTGGGGAGAGGTCTGGTGAATACGGTGGATTAATCTCCCACTTTAGCTCTGCTATCTTGGCAAGGGTCATTTTTGCAATGTGTGGACAAACATTGTCCTGGAGAAACAAAACTTGTTTTCTGTTTACTAATGCATACTTCAACAAATTTTCCTGAAATCATTCAAGTTGCTTGCAATATTTGTTAGCAGAAATGGTTTCACCCGTTTTTAAAAACTCAGTGAATTATTCCTTGACATGTCCACCAAACACACAGCAAAAGTTTTTTTTTCTGGAATAGTTGGGCTTTTGAAGTTTGTGGCAAAGGATCACCTGGTGATAACCAATGATATTTCTTCTTAGAGTTTGTATACATGATCCACTTTTCATCACATCATAATTTGATCAAAAATGGGTTATTTTGTTATTCGACTGTGATGAGAAGAGCATATGGTAAGCCATTGCAGTTTGTTGGCTGGTGTTAAGTCATATGGTACCCATTGGCTTAATTTCCATTTCTTCCCCAGCTGGTGCAAATGCAGTCTTATAGTTTCATCACTTACATTAAACCTCGAAGATAGTTCATGACATGTTAAACTTAAATCTGATTCTATGGCTGCCTTTAAATCCTCATTGTTTAGGGATATTGGTTGTCCAGCTCAAGGTTCATCTTCAAGGGTTTCATTGCCACAATGAAACTTCTGAAATCAATTACGTGCAGTTTGTTCACTTACTGCACCTTTGCCAAAGGCTGTACATAGCTTAAGAGAAGCACATGATGCACTTGAACCAAGTTTAAACTCATAGGACAGACAAGCACAAATTACCAATATTTTATCAGTCATTTTGACGGCTCTGAAATAAGAAATAAAATGATATTAGTTATGTAAGAAAATAATAACTGAATCATTCAACAATGTACTTGTCAATACAAGTTGCTTCCTGTATACTTATGCTTGTTAGTAACTAAACAGCTGGGTCAGAAATAAGTGAACAAAAATTGGAAAAACTTTTGGGCACCTGATATATTAGAGAGAGAGAGGTGTATTTGGGTACCAGTATTTAATTCATACCATTTTGACTAAAAACTAACAAATGATCTTTGTTTTTCGGATTTCTAGTGAAAGCTTAAATATAAGCTGTTCAATGTAAGAATAATTTTGGCTTCCATAAGACATTATCTAACACACTTGTTAGTAATGTTGTGACTTTATGTATGAATGTATTGTTTTCTGTATGCTATCTCAGGTTTTATCATTTTTTAAAAAAGTATTGTATGTCCAGAGATCAGTTTGTGGTGTTTCATCATTTTTATTTATCTATGAAATATATTTAGTATGTCTTGTTTTATATTTGATAAAATTTTTATTGATTTTAAGTTTTTTTTTTTTTTTGCCTCTTGTATTTGTCAAATTTATTGTTGAACTATTATCAAATAAAAGCCAAATTAATCAGTGTGATAATGTAATGGTTGTGTAACCAAACCAGCATATCACAAAAAAACTCACTGCAGCTAAACAACATTATATCAATGAAAACTCTTGGCCAAAAGTAATTAGACTTTGGAGATATATATATATATATATATATATATATATATATATATATATATATATATATATATTTTTTTTTGTACATGAGATCTGCAGTAGGACTTTTCCTCAGGGCCAAAATGTTTTCATACTCTTCTAGTTAGTCTGAATTCACTGTAAAAAGAAAATTTATTTTTTACCCAATCAGTTTTTGCTCACGAAACTGGCTTGGGGATCCCATCTATTAATATAAAAAGTATTCTAAATTCAACAGAAGGACTTTCTGCCAACCATCTTACATTATCTCTGTCCATTGGTTTTTACAGATGGCACCTACATAGTCTTCCAAGAAGCCATATCCATTTCCATCAATTCACATCTTATGTTAGGTACCTCCACGAGATCGCTAAAAAAAGAGCATAGCATGATGAAAAAAAGGCGCTAAACTTGATTTAAAAACAAAATTTTATCGTCTAAATGTTTGTTATTATTAAGAGGAAAGGTCAAAGTATTTTTGGGGTATTTTTTTTTCCATTTTTTAATCGTTCCTAGCACGTCCGAAATTTTCGTTAAAAATCTAGTTTTTTTTTGAGTCAGCAAAATTGACCATTTTTTCCATTTTAAAAAAAACTGGAAATCTGACTTTGAAATTTTTTAAATATCAATTATCATTTTTCAAAACTTATTTTAAGAAAATCAGAAATTATAATGTTTATTTAAAATATTTTGAACCAAACTTAACTTAGCTTTTGTGCCAAAAAGATGTAATTTGAAAATAAAACAAAGCAGGTCATAAACTTTCGCGTCTCTTGACATGTGATGAATGATATATTTACGAATTCCATGAGGCGAATTTGTTCTATGGAAGGAGAAAAGTGAAATAATTTACATTTACGTGAACAAATTATTCACCCAATTATTTTTAACGAAAACTTTCAGCAGTCTAATTTTTTTTTTTTTTTTGTACTTAGCGTTCACCTTTACGTTTATGATGCTTTATGGGAAATATATTGTAAAGAAATTAAAATAAAACTGTTAAGAGTGACATTAAATTTCATATTTCTTAAGAAAGGTATCTAATTAATTTATAGGTACCTTTCTTATGAAATTTTATCAAATTGTACATAAAATACTATAATTTTATGTACATTTATTACATTCTACTGTTATTTGTATTTGCATTCATTTTATTATTAATTTTGATATTTCATTTATGGAAAAATGTAAGTAACTGAGATTAATATAAAAATAAGATCATATAAATTTCATAAGATGATACTGATACTTGTAGGTAACCTTCTCAGTTGAAATTGAAAAAATCAAATTAACTTCTCCACACGTGTTTTCATAAAAGTTAAGGCCTTAACAGCGGAGAACAATGCTTAACTCAAATAACGCAACATAATTATATTCTGGTTGGTCTTCCGTATTTTATAATTACAGCTCGATTATAAGCACAAAATTACATTTCTTAATTACTGGGTATCTTCTGATTAGTCAAAATGATACAATTTACAACGCTTTTTTAAAAAAAAGATCTATCTCATAAGGACACTTATGAAAGCCGATCTGACTTTTAACTAATTGTATAATATTTTAACAACTTAAATGTAAAATCTATTATCATTAATGAAATAACAAATAATTGTATTAAAAATTCATTTTTCATCGAAAAAATTTTTTTGCTTTCAGAAAATATTGTCCATATTCATAAAAAGAACTAAAAGCAAATAAAAGCATTTGAAATTAAATAATATATTTGTTTTATTGAGTTTTGTATGTTACAATTCAGAGCTGATTTTCAGGTACTGCGTATCCAATTAAAAAAAAACAAAAAAAAACATGATTTGCATTCCCCAAAGCCCTGTGCTTTTAATTATTGTAATCACTAAAACCGATGCGATCGAATTTCTAGCGTTTTCATAAAATTAGTTGGGGGGGGGAATAAATATTTAAAAAAAAAATATTTCTACCATGACTTTCATAAAAAAAAAACATATTTATAATAATTTCGATCATCTGTGAATAGTTTCTGAAAGTTTCATTAACATCCGATAATTATTTCTATTTTTGCACGATTTTTCAAATTAATGTGTGTCATACCAAAAAAACGTGCTAAAAATTGTCTATGTTATTTACTATTTCCACTGATACAAATAGAAAAAGGTTTTTTTAATCAAAATTTTACAATGTTCTAAAAAGAAAGGAAAATTTTTAAAATAATTAAAAAAACTTTGGTCTTTCCTCTTAATAATAACATAAGCATTTAGACAATAAAATTTAGTTTTCGGCAAGTTTGGCGTCTTTTTCATCAAGCTATGCTCTTTTTTTAGCGATTTCGTGGAGGTACCTATCTTATATGCATCATTCTGACCAGACTTTTCTCATGATCAGTTGAATTTTGAGCATCACAGCTCAATCAGAGAACAAGTCATTCTTTGTTTTTTAAAGCCTTCAAGATGTAACTACTCATGGCTCACCATAGATTCTTTTTCTTTATTGTCTGTGAATTACCATGCATTCTTAGGAAAGATAGTGAAGTGGTTTACCATAGCCTTCTCCAGTGATCCTTCTTTGAGAATGGCTGCCACATAGATTATTTAATTCATAGCTGAGAGATACAGCCTTTCCTAACAGTGTGTGAAAGTGAATGCAACAGACTATGTAGGAATTTGAACTTGGCCCATTGATTCCATTATCTGTACATTCCATATTAGTGATTTCTACAATTCACCATCAGCCACTGATTACATATTGTGATATTGAAAGCTAACACAAATAAAAGTCAAAATTTGCCTGTCTCTAACATTGTTGGACTTTCTTGTCATTAGCATGATTTTACAGAGAAACGAATGTATAGTTGGTCAAATCACCCTAATAAAGCTATTTTACTTACATGGGTAGGAAGAGGAAAAATATTATCTATTGTGTGTGTGTGTGTGTATATATATATATATATATATATTATTCATTACTGAATCAGAAATAATGTTCACAATATTTACTTTATATCAGCTCTGAGTTTCATAATTTCACACTCTTCAGATAAGATTGATTGTATTGATTATTGGATGTGTATTTTATTATATCCAAATGTAAAGAGAATGAAACGAATATAAATTCAAATGTTGTAGATTATCAATACTTGTACTTAACCTAACTCCATATTACTGAAATATTAACTCTGAATAGGAAGCCTTACAGGTGAAGGTTTCTGGTAAGCTAATGTTTACTCAGACACCATAGACTATCAATACCTAATCTAACTCCATGATACTGTAATATTAAATGTAAATAGAAAGTTGTATTGGTGAAGCCAAGGTTTCTGGTAGGCTAATGTTTACTCAGACGCCATAAATTATCAGCCTAATTCTGCAATACTGTAATATTAAACGTAAATGGAGTGGGGGATTAAATGTTATCATATATATTAAGAATTATTTCCACGGACAAAATATATATATATTGAGATTATACTAAAAGCAATGTTTAATTCTGCTATTAAAAAACTAATTATAAAAAACACATAATTCCAGCTTCAGCTAAAATCTCATTTTCTTAAATTAATTTTAACCAAACCTTTGTCAGTTCAAAATAATTACTACCTATATTTCTGTTATAGCTACTGTACTTTAAGGTGTGTAAAATCCCCAGTTGAAAAAAAAAAAAAAAAAAAAAAAAAAGACTCAAAAGTATCTAGGTCTTATCTACCTGGTAGGCTAATGTCTACATAGATATTGAATTTCTGTAAATAGAAGAGGACTTCTATATGCCATCAGATAACATAAATGTTTTCACATTTATAGTGTGAGAATATTCTGAATGTCACAATGGCTCTTCTGCTAAGAAACTCTGCTTTCCCAGAAAAAGAAGAAAATTACAAGTGTGTGTGCGCACATGCACAGACAGGGAAGGGGTTTGTGATACTTACTTGCAGTAGTAAACAGAAATTGAATGAATGAGCGAATGAATGAATGAAACACAGAATGGAAAATGGCCGGAAAGAAAAAATATAATTTCCTAATGCATTGAAACATGTTTGCAATGCCAAGGATTGTTAACATTGACAAATATAGAGTGAATCTTTATCATTTTTACATACGTGCACACACACAAGAAAAAAGTGTGTGTGTGTCTCACACTATAAATGTGAAGAAAAAGGAAGCAAAGATCACAAATAACCCAAGGGCAGATAAGCACAAAAGAAAAAAAGAAAATGGATGAAAGAGAGAGAAGCTGGGAGTGAAGAGTAAATTTAAAGAAAGAAAACATAAAAGGGAGAAAGTCATAGAAAAATAAAAATAAGAATGAAGAAAAAATTCATAAAAGAAAAACAAGTGAAAGCAAAGTAAAATGAGAAGGTAGTGCACTTTCTGAAAGAAACTGATTTAATTATTAGATTATTTAAGAGACAGAAAAAAAGCATAAGAGGAAGAAAGACTTTGGCAGGAATAGATAAATATAAAATAAGTATGCAGATTTTATAAATAAAATAGGAGCTTGGTAAGTAGGCAAATTTTGTGGCATTTTTACTGCTTAGTTTTATTAAGGTCTACATTCACCATGTTTATTTAAACCAGAAGCAAATTCAAAATTCAGGGATGGATGGAAGAATAGACAGACAGATATGAACAAAGTAACACAGACAATAAACAGACAGACATACATGAACAGAAAATAAATAAACAGACCTGGACTAAGATAGATTGGATAAGAAAAAGAAAAAAACAAAGGACATTCAAGATAGAAAAGAGAAAGGGACAAAAGAGAAAATGTGACTAATGAATGCTGCAAAGTTCAATACTGTTATGGGATAAATAATGATAAAAGTGCTATAGACATCATTTCAACAAATTTAGTGTTCAAAATTTAGTCATGTGTAACAGCAATATGTATAAACTTATGAATCTTTTTATCTGACAATTCGTGGTTGATGTGTTATCAGGAATGTAATAAGACGTCTGTGTTGTTTGGCTGTTTACAATTTTAACAACAATTATTAGCTGGAAACCATTTATGTATGGACAATTGGACATGCAACCAGACAAAAACTGAAAGAATGAAGGAAGAAAGGAATAGTGAAGTGGAGGACATTTTTCTATTAACAGTGGCTTTGAACTTAGTTTATTCATTTATAAGTTTTCTGGCACATGCTTATCTAAAGTCTGGCAGTCGGTAACCAATGGCAATACATTATATTGTTTTATTGTTATGAACTACCATAAAAGGAAAAGAATCCCAAGGTATTTGATCCAGTCTCTAGATAGAATATTTGGCATGTTTATTTTCTAAATCTATTTCTATAATGCCAATTGATTTGTAACAAAGCTATTTTCCTTTCAAAAAATGCACATATTAATTTTTCTTTCATAAATATTTACTAGAGTACAGTGCATCTTAATATATAATACAAAGACTAAATTAGAACAGAATATTTATACCCAATCATTTCAATAAGCGTTGAATTCTTTTTAGGTTTCACAATGCCTACCAATGAAAGAAAAATGGCAATTAACTCTTACAGTCATGGGCTTACATTATAAAAATAAACAACATTTGATCTGGTTTGGTAGAAATAACCTTTTTAATGAACTGTTAAAAATTAAATCAAAATTTTGACATTAAAATTTTGAAATAACACCCTTTTTTTTCTTTTAAATTAGAAAACATTTTCTATTAACTTTTAATTATACAACAATATATGTGTGTGTGTGTGTGTGTGTGTGTGTGTGTGTGTGTGTTATCCTGTTACAACCATGCTGCTTGTATCCAAATACAATCCCTGTTGGTAGATGCTCCAAGGACACAAGATAGGAAGAAACAGGCATAGTAAGCAAAATGCAATTAATATGCCTTCCATCTTGTGTTGTGGCACCAAAATCTAATGTAGCATTCTGAGCCTTCAAAATGGCATTGACTGTAGAATATTCAGCTCCCAGAAGACTGGCTCATAGCCTATCAGTGTCCAATGTTCAGAGTCTGCAAAAGAAAGTCTATTAGATTTAGAATCTTGCTGGAAGATACTGCATTAAGGATGCAGTTATAATGAATTTTCTTCACTTTGATGGTCATCATGCCTGTCACTCCTATTTCATGCCTCCTTGGCAATTCTTCAGTTTTCTTGGAGCCTTTATTAGCTGTTCCTTCAGGCATTACTTAGGCTGCCAAGTTTTTTTGTTGCAGATGAACTGTTGCTTCAATGTCCGATATTTGAATTCCATTACGTCCAGTTCCTTTTCCACTCTGATCTCTCTGCTGATTGGATCAGAGACAGAAGCACTGGATGCTGTAAATGTCATCCCATTTCAAAAGGTGGTGGCAGCTGAATGGGCCAGCATGGCAGCCGAGGGGTTAGTTGAATGGGCCAGCACCTTATAACTCTCTTCAAAAGTTAGATGGTATATCCACCTACCTTGAAGTACCTTATAGAATTTTTTAACTCTATAATGGGAAACTGGTGGAAAGTCATTTTTGGTATTCTCCACAGTTGATCAACGTTGAATCTGTCTTTCACTGCCATACTTACCATGGAGTTTTTTCATAATATGACCACCTAATACAGGTTGACCACCCTCAACCACATCATATTCCACCAGAAAAGGTTTAGCAGACATCTACAAAAGGTAAAATAAAGAGAAATATTATGATAGGAAATAATAATAAATGAAATAAATTAATCTTGATTGATTTGTTCTTTGTGGTTTATTTAAAGTTGAAATAAATTATGATTGTAAGAATTATTTTTTGAGAGTGAATATTGCATTAAGAACTTTTGAGATAATGATTTATCCAGATACAAACACTACTATTTAACCCATAGCTGGAGGAAGGAGCTAGATTCATACCTTTTCCAAGGCTATTTGTGCATATGTGAATGTAACGAACCTGAGATGAGGCATTATGTACACTATTTGTATTATTCAGACTATTGTCTTCATATTTATTACAACATTGTACACTCTGGCATTCTTCAGGTGGTTGGAATGTCAAACTGGAGCAGACTGTTCTAGTTCCATGTGCCATGTCTAATGGATGTCAGTTATCACTTATCTCCTGCTTAATTCCCTCTCCAAGTTCTCCCCCGCCTTAACGAGGTATTGAACTCACACTCTTTGTCACTGGACCTAACACCTTTATCCATGATTAGTTCAGTATCCCAACTCCCAGTTGGGATACTGAACTAATCATTTTAATTTGAGATGTTAGCATAAAAATGGTTTTAATCATTTCACCTTAAGCAAGGCAATAAAGACACTGAGTGTGAAAGACTGAGAAAAAAAAAACATGAAATAGGGGACAATAGAAGAACAAGATTTAAAGAAACAGAAGATGATGACTGACATTGCATTTAAATTTTTGAAGAGCTTGATTAGAAAGCAAGTAGCTGGAAGAAAATTCCACAAGCAAGAAATGCGAGAAAAGAAACTGTTAGCATGGAATTTACACTTACATCTAGCCATTTCAGTTTTAAAATGAAGAGACCTAGCTGCCAATTTAATACAGTGCTGAAATTAGTAAAGTCAAGGTACCAAAGAGGAAAATTCATCAGAACAATTACCTTGTTAAATATAAAAAAAGTATGGCAGCTACATTATGGCAGAGGGAAAGTGACTGAAGCTGAGATGTCAGATTAGAACTGATAACTTTCCTAGCAGAAGACCAACTGTTTCAATAGAACGGAATGATTAATCTCCTATCATGTCAGTGGAAAATGTTAGCTTGAGAAGGCACAGTGTGTCACTCTTCTAGAGGTTAGAATTAGCCATACTGATGGAAGACAAAAAAGGTTCTCTAAGACAATTAAAAAAACAGTAGTCTCAGTTTGGAGGTGTTAAAATTAATAATCCATTTCTTGACCCCAGAACAAAAGATTAAATGTCATTTTTGAGATCAGCTACAAATTTTATCTTATTGAACCAATTAAAATTACTATTAAGACAGGAGTAAATAGTTGCCATCAGCATAGATACCGAGTTGGGAACTGATGGCATTGAGCTCATTCATGAAAGATGGAACCCTGGAGGACAGCCACATTTCAAAGATGTAGAAGCGTGGCCATTAAATTCAACTTTCATTTCTCGATTATATAAGAAAGATAAAATATTACTTCATTAAATATGAGTTTTAAAATATACAGAAGTTCATTGTGTTCTTTAAAAAGCTAAGGAAAATAATTTGTTATACTCATTTCACTTTTTCTTGATAAATAAAAAGAAATTTATTTTCATATCAGGAGAAAATTGAAAATGAAATCCAGAGTAAAAGTTCCATCTTATTTATTTTCTTGTATTTCATTTCATACAATTTAAGAAATAATTCTAAAACTTAGTAAAGTATCGATATAGTTAACATTTAAAGAACATTCATTTTTTTTTTTTTATAAAAGGGCAAAAAAGAGTCTAAAGGCCACAGTTCATATTACAAAAAGGAATATTTACATTGTAGTAAGTACACTAATGTGTGTTGTAGTGTAATAAATATCCATTTAGAATAAGAAATCAGGAAGCCAACTTCAAATTCCAGTTGGGTTCATTACAGATAACTTTGGGAAAGGTATGAATTTAACTCTTCCCCTCTCCCCCTTTCGTTGAATAACAGGATAAATTGGGCTGATAACAAGTCTACTGCTGAAAGAAATGTCAGTCTACTGTTGGAAAATCTTCCTAGTCAGTTATGAATCGAAAGAGACATATGCTTAACTGACTAAGTGCACTAATGTTTAATTTGAGGTTGAATTATTAATTAAAGTTTTGAAAATGCTTTCAAAGTACATCTTTGTTATCTAGAGAGAGAAAAAAATTTTTTCATAGTATGTGAGAATAAACTAAAATTCAGGTATTGTCAGTACCTTTTAGTTTTACTTTTAAAATCACAATAGAGGCAATGCAACCAAACATTTTTTTTTTTTTTCATATTGCAATAAGCACTTCGGACTATGAACATATATATTTTTTTTTTTTATAAAATGTTAATGGGGGGGGTCCAGTTTGCTATGTAAATTTGTTCCTCCTCTAAGAGGCAACACAAAATATGCTCGTACTTCGAGATTTCTTGAAGAAAAAAATTTTTTTTTCCTAAATTTTAAGAAATCACGTGGTATGACTATTATTTATGTACCACCAAACCCAAACTAGATGCGTTTTTTTCCCCAACCAAAACGGAAATAAAAATAAATAATCAATCAATACCAATATTTAAAAAAAAATTTACCGAAAAATCAGGGAATTAGTCGATTCAAACGGAATTTTCGGTATTATTCATTAATGAATTAATTAGAAAACTTTGTGGAAATATTTTTGAGTTGCCTGTTTCACCCCCTCCCACCCCCTGTATTTTAAAAAAAAATAATTACTTGTACTTTTTCAGTGCGATTTTGAAATTCATCCCGTTGCTGTTCGTAACAAGTTTTTTTTTTTATTATATGAAGACATACAGTTTGAAGAATGGGAAAAAAATGTAAAGCTTAAATGCCATTTTCGAATATGAACCTTTTTAAATTTTTTTTTTTTTTTTTGTGTTAGATTAATTTTTGTATGGATGTTCAAAAAGAAAATAAATCTGAATTACTGCCTTTGACTAATTTTCCTTATCGGAAAGGAGAGTAATAATAATTCATTCAATAACTATTAAAATAAATTCATTAAGAAGAATTTTATGACGTCAAACATGTAAGAAAATAAAAAATATTAAAACTAAAAGCAATGTTAAACTCAAAAATTAAAAAAAAAAAACTATTTGTAAAGTAAAAAAAAAAAAAAAAAAAATTATTCATTCCACTAAGTTTAATTCGTAGAATAAAAAAATATTTCTACTTATTGAAGGTTAAAATTTTTTTTAAATGAATAATACAAATTTTTATTTTTTTTAAATTTTACTGCGCGCTTTTTAAGAGGCATTGAAAGAAATATTTATAATTTTCTATTTCTGAATTCATTTTTACATGTAGTTTAGTGTCCTGAGTTCAGAGGCCAACAACATAAAAGAGCGTTAGTTTATTTACTGACCTCTGACCTCACACGCTACCATGCGTAAATAAACGTGAGTTTCATTGATTTGAACAAAAAGCAAGCACTTTTGCTAAATCCAGTTAATTAATTAATCTTTAAATTTACTGACTTCAAAACTCATCTCTAGAAGTCCGTGGCCGTACATAGACAATTTCATAAATTGTTCTGCAGCAAACTAAACACGTCTTGAAATTTCCTTGTTAGTTAAAAAACGTTATATATCTCAATCACTAAAAAAAAGACAATTATTGAAGAACAATAATTAAGAATCGTCCAGAAAAAAAGATTTTTAATAAAAGTCTTTAAGTAATTAATTAGCAATGATTTTTTTTCACAACACAAATTATAGAGAGACTTTCATTTGAGTTGTGAAAACTAAAACAATAATTAAAATGTCATTTTCGAAACAATCAGACAATTTCACACCATAAAAATAAAATGGAACCTTTTCATTACCGTGGGCTTTTGGTGCTTATACTGCAAATTAACCAAAAATGCTTTACTGTAGGACATTTTATTTTTATTTTTTTAAAATAAGGAATTAAAAGTAAACTAAAAGGTAAAGATATTCGAAACGAAACATTCTCTCTAGTTATGATTCGGAAAATAAAAATTAAATTTTCAATGGATTTGATTTCTTTCTCTGATGACTTACCTTCTTATGTGTTCAAATTATTTTTCATATTTCAAAACATAAAAGGTTATGATTGGCTTTTTCCGCAAATATTTCTTATAAAATTCCTTTATCATAAATGAATAAGTATCCAAAATTAGGTGGGGGGGGCGTCCTTCTATATTTACCAAAAAATTTGAAAATTGTGTTCTGGTGCGCTTCTTAATGAGAAAAATGATTATTTCTAGTCGATGTTGGTAAATTTTTACTATCACAACTGTTAAAGTAGCATTTACTTTTGTTTTATTCTAGGCACAATATAAAAAATAATAGTCGGGAATGAGATATGGGTACTATTGAGTATAATTAAATAATTCCGGAGAATGTTTATTGTACCACTCCACAGAGTTCTTTGATGCTAAAATCAAGAGTTTCGTCATAGTTCAAATTCAAAATATCTTGTTGGTTAATGTCCACGAGAGGAATAAGCCGTGCCGAAGAAAAAAAATTGCTTAAAAAAATAAAAGAACGACTTACTTTACTCTTTTAGTGAAGGCTCTTTTGTTTTGTAAAATAGAAACAGAGACACGTGAAAAAAATCACGACTGTTTTGATGAATAGACAACACAAGTCTAAAAAAATAAGGAAAGTTATTTTCAAGGGAGGTAATTCAGAATTGTTGAATTAATTCCTATTCGATCTTCCATACAAAAAAAAACACATTTGCAAAAGAAATTCTTTTTAAAATATTTCTGATGCGAAAATAGTATTAAACTTTACATTTTTCGATTCTTCAAACATGTCTTTATTTAATTAAAAAAAAATTTGTTTTCATCAACAATCGGGAGAATTTCAAAATCGCACTGAAAAATTAGAAGTAAATTTTTCATAAATAATAATTAAATATTCATTGTTCGTATTTTTTCCTGTCAAATCTGAAAGTTTTATTTAAATTAAAATGCAGGCACTTACCAATAAATAAATAGATAAATAAAAAGTTTTTCAGTTTCATAGAATTATTTTTGTAAGATTTTAGAACAAATCTTCAAGATTTTCTGATATCACATTGCATAAATTTTTACTGCAATAAATCTTCAAGGATTTTTCTTTATAAACAATAAAAAGAGAAAGACTATTTTTTTTAAAGAACGCTCCATAAACAAATAAACATTAAAGTTCGCGATGTATCGAAATGAGGGGGTAAGAACCCTACCCCCAAAAGAATATTTTCACAAAGTTTTCTAATAAAATAACCTATTCAGTATAAAATTCATTCATTAATGATTAAGTGCTGAAAGTTTCATTTAAATTGGATAATTCCTTGGTTTTTTGGTAGATTTTTTTTTAAACTGTGGGTTAGCGTTTTTTTACTGTCATTATAGAAAGTGCGCACGCATTTTGGTGATACTTAGTGAATGACCTTTCTCCAAACCCTTGATGTCGCTAATGTGTCTCGGCATATCCGTCTGGCTATGCCAGCGACAGCAGATCGTTGGCGTACATGAAGAAATCGGTTGCTGCAAAATGGCGGCTGCCGTGACTTCTTCCTTGAAAAAAAAAAAAGTTATGAAAAATGATAGAAGATGATGAAAAGAAAAGATAGGGTTAAAGAATTAAGACGTGACGAGCATGGCGGGAAGGGAATAGGAGGAAGAGAAGAATAAATATGATGAAGAAAACCAAAAAATTGAAGAAAAAGTAAGTGAAGAAGAGAACTGAAAGAAAGAATTAATGAAAGAAATAAAAGAGAAACATTGAAAGCAAAAGAGGAAAGCAAAAAAGAATCAAAGAAAGAAAGAATTAGTGAAAGAAAAGGAAAGTAAAAAGCAAAAGACAAAATAATAAGAAAGAAAGAATTGATGACAAGGAGAAAAGCAAAAGAGGAAAAAATAGTAAACCAAAGAGGAATGAAAAAAGATAGAATTAATGAGAGAAAAAGAAAAGGAGAATGCTGAAGACAAAAAATAAAACAGAAAGAAAGAATTGATGTGGGAAAGGAAAAAGCAAAAGAGGAAAACAGTAAAAGCAAAAAGGAATCAAAGAAAGAAAGAATTAAGGGGAGAAAAAGGAAAGAAAGAAAGAAAGTGGTCAAGAAAAATTTGGTAAGAGAAAAAAGAATGGTTAAAGTAAAACAGGACAAGAAAAGGAATCAAGAAAAGAAAAAAGGACTCAAAGAAAGAAAAAAAGGAATAAAAGAAAAAATTAACCAGACAAAGAAAAGAGAGAAAGAAGAAAGAGAAGTTAAGAGAAGAAAATATGGAAAATTAGATAATGAAAAAGAATGAAAAAAGGAAAAGAAAGATGGGAGAGAAAAATTAAAAAAAGATAAAAAGCAACAAAAAAAACAATCAGCATTAAAAGCAGGCGCAGTTGAAATGAATGATGAGGGAGACGAAAAAGAACGACAAAAAAATAGAAGGAAAGTAAGTAAAAAAAAAGGGAAAGTACTATATCACCCACCTACTCCTCATCCACCCACTTTTGATAATATATACACTGCTCATTGATCACTACATTTTAACTTTAATAGTTACCAATTTAATACTTTAGTTAAGCTATTACTAATATTGTGTCTTTTACCAACAATACTAATAATGAGTAGTTAAGAAGTCAGAAGATTATGCAGCACCAATACCTACAAAATACTACTGAAACCAAACTTCTTCAGACCAACTGCACCAAGAAGGATGCATCTTGTTTTTATATATTTGTAATGTCAAGTGAGACTACATTTTATTGATGTGTGCTTTCCTGTGCAAAGAATGTTCATACGACATTATAGGTACATGCAAATATTTTGTCTTTTGATTATCCGCATATTTGCATGAATGAATACTTATTTTTGTGAATGAATAAAAGATATGATCATTGAAGCCTGTTGATTGTGGTTAATTTTGGTTTGGGTGAGAGTTGAAGAATTTTGGCAAGTTTATCATAAATTCCATTTACTGCGATGTAAATGACCTGCGAAGATACTAAAATTATTACCGATGACTGTTTTTCCAATATTTAGCCAAGAATGATACTGGGTCAAATGAGGTGGGGGGGGGAACAAGAGGTATATTGAAAGATTACTAGCTTCTGTTTGGTTGGGGAGGCCTGGCTATTTGAAAAAAAAAATGGAATTGACAAAGTTCAAAGTGCAGCCAGCGCAATTTGTGTTTACTTCATATCCATGCCTTTGTGAAAGGCATGAAACCACTCTTCCCTATACACCAGGTCTAAGATCAATGCAAGCTACTAGTAACATGTAATCTGTTGCACATTACTAGAAGAAATAAACACCACCAACTAATTAATGTCAGTTGTCTTGGAAAATGCTAGTAAGATATTCCATTATCAAAGTGATTGGCTACTTTTATTTTTAATAGTATAATTATAGATTTTATCTCTCACCCATCATCTCTCTCTCTCTCTCTCTCTCTCTATATATATATATATATATATATATATATATATTAAGAAGATAAACCACAGACGTTTTTGGTTGAAATATGGATTTTTTTATTTTAAAATATCTATTTTCCATAATTCTACAGAATTATGGAAAAATATATATTTTAAAATAAAAATACACATTTCAACCAAAAACGTTTGTTGTTTCTCTTATTTTTAAAATATACACTTTTCACTCATTGAAGCAACTATAACTTCTTCTGTGTGTATGTGTGTGTGTGTGTGTGAGAGAGAGAGAGAAAGAGAGAGATTTCAGATATAACTAAAAATATTTCTGTAAAAAGACAATATGAATAAAAACGAAAGGAAAATTTATCTTAGCTGATGCATTTTGTCCTCTGATGGACTTCATGAAGGCAAATGTAAAGATCTTATTTTGCAACAAGTGTTTATATACAAAAGTAAAAATGTCATTAAATTTTTAAATTTAAGAACACTGATAAATATTCATCAGGTTAATTGAAACGTGTAGGTAAATTATGGAAAATGCTAAGTGATATAATTTAATATTATTTAATATCTAATAAACAAAAGTGAGTAATTCTTTTTCTTTTTAATAATGTAATTAATATTTATATCATTTTAGTTTAAGATTAATTTATGTACGATATTTTAAATAAGAAGTCATGAATTCAACTGTTTTCTTTTAAATTTTGAACATTCCTATAGTCATGTATGTTGGCTTGGAAAAGGAGTAATTCTTTAGTCTTTATTCACATATATATATAGCAGAAAAACCATATTTTAAATCAATTAATTTATAATATTAATGCTCTGTAAATTTACATTGGACACTATTTTGTAAAAATAAAAATATCTATAAGAACACCGGATTATATATCTTACTGTTCTTCCTTTTTATTTATATATACATATACATATATATATATATATATATTTAAATCATTTCGCCCCAAACAAGGTAATAATGCTACTAGAATACAGAGGTTTACAAGGAGTGAAAGAAAATGAAAAGACTTGGGGAGAATTGAAGAAAGGGCAAAAAGGTACAGGGTTCAAGAAGACAGAAGATGGCGATTTACATGGCATTTAAATTTTAAATATTGTAGTTATCAGGAAAGTAAAAAAAATCATAAGTGAGTTCCACAGGTGAGAAGTGCAAGAAAGGAAACTGTTAAAGTAGAAGCGGCAGTTGAATCTATCTCTCTCTCTCTCTCTCTTTATATATATATATATATAAAAGTATATAATTGGTATACACGGAATGAATTCCAATAACCAACAATTACTATTCTTAAAAAAGTGCTCAATACAAAGTAGAGCAGATATAATTATTTTATAAAAAATTTATAACATAAGTATGTTATAAAATCACTACAAAAATAGCCATTTGTTTCAACACACTCTGTGTCTTCTCAAGTGCAGACACAGAGTGTGTTGAAACAAATGGCTATTTTTTTAGTGATTTTATAACATACTTATGTTATAAATTTTTTATAAAATAATTATATATATATATATATATATATATATATATATATATATATATATTCACAAAATTAAAAAAATGCAAATATTAATGATGTAAGAAGTTTCAAACATGACAGGTAAATAACATCAAGTCCGATAACTCTGTAAAATACCAGAGATCAATTCTACACTGTATTAATAGTAAGAACAAAACCCATTGAAAATCAATAAAAGTCAATATTTTTCAATTTTGACAGATGTCATGGCTTGAGGGAGGTTTAACGCAATAGTTTTCAATCTATCAGGTCATCTCATAAGTTCTGTCCGAATTTTGAATAAAGAAAACAAGTGACCAAATGTTACATTTAATTACAGCTTCAATCAACAATGTATTTTCCCTGATTATCTATGACTTCCTTCCATCTATTAACAAGTTTACTAATTCCATTACTGTAAAATTCTTTTGGCTTTGATTCGAAGAACTCACAAATGTCAGTTTTAACCTCTTCCTGTGTTACAAAAGCTGTTTCTTCCAAATGATTCTGTGAGCTACGAAACAAATGGTAGTCTGAAGGAGCAAGATCGGGAGAATAAGGTGCATGAGGAATTTTCTTCCAACCAAGTTCTTTGAACTTTTGTGACATGATTCTTGCTGTATGGGGTCACGCATTGTCCTGATGAAACATCACCTCTTTTTGATTCACTAAAGCAGGTCTTTTTTTCCTCAAAGCTTGGTTCAAATGCTCTAATTGCTGACAGTATATTTGAGCATTAATTGTTGCATTAAGTGGTAAGAATTCAAAGTGGATTATTCCTTGGCAATCCCACCAGATTGAAAGAAGAACCTTTTGCCCATGAAGTTCCCTTCTTGGCTGTGGCTGGGGTCCTTCCCCTTTACCAAGCCACTGTCTACGACGCTTAACATTTTGATAAAAGATCCATTTTTCGTCACCAGTCACAAGTCTATCCTCAAAAGGTGAAACAAGTTGGCGAGAATGAAGAGAAGAGCAGATGACAACTCGGAATTTGAGGTTGTTTTCAGACAATTCATGAGGCACGCATTTTCCAAGTTTAGGAACTTATTCAAGTTGTTAAAGATGACGATGAACAGTTGTAAGGTTTGAACTGAGAACCACTGCCAATTCCTCAACTGATAAAGCAGGATTTTCTTCAAAGGCTGCTTCAAGAAGCTTTTCATCAAACTCAACTGGACGTCCAGTTTGTTCTTCATCTTCAAGGGTGAAATCTCCACCTCTGAATTTTGCTAACCATCTGCAAGTTCTTTCATTCACACATTCCTTTCCATAAACTGAGTGAATGTTTCTAGCTGCTTCGGCTGCTGAGTTTCCTTTCTTGAACTAATAAAGCATTATGTGCCAAAAATGATTCTTGGGTACTTCCATGTTAGCAGGGTTTTAATCAAACAAAATTTAATTTTATTGTTCTCTGAAATAAAATTTGATCAGTTTAAATGCATCTAAACATAAAAATAATGTTCAGCTCCATTAGACATTATAAAATACTCTTTAAATTTCGTTCATTTTAACAAAAAGTTAAAATTTGGAAAGAACTTATGGGATGACCTGATATTTTGCCTGATGCACTTTTTTCACCATAAGTTAGAATGTCACCCCACCCACACACTTTTTCCAAGATTGTTCAACTCAAAAGGTACATTCCAAATCATATGCATATATTAAGGAAAATGTTTATTCTTTTCCCTATTAGTACATATACATTTACATGGATTATTTTTGTAATGGCAAAAATCACAAGAGCTAGGGGAAAGAAAAACCAGCATGACCTCTCAGTTACCTGAACCAATGCACATTGCAGGTTGTGCCACTTTATGGAGTGAAAAAGTTATCATTTTGAGTCTACTAATGTGCGGCCCCAATTCCCCCTGAAACCTTGAAATTTCTCCCTAGGGTGAATTCCCCACTAGTTGAGAACCCCTAGTGTAATGAATGCCAATCTACAAAAATTATTCTCTGAAAAAATTTTCACTGTTTCTTTATGAGTGGACCCGTCTATTTAAGTGTATATAAAGTGACACCAGTGAAAGCAAATCAATGATTCATCTATATAGAAAAAGATATTATTTTGCAGTAGCCTTATTGTTTCAAACTACAAATGCCCACTGTTATTTGATTTCTAATTTTATTCTATTTTATCATTATTGCTTGTGGGTGGGAGGATTTTTTATGATCAGGGAATCACAGACAAAAAAGAAATCTGAAACAATTTCAAGCCATTATCCATTACACCACTTGCACATCCAAGCTTACAGCACCTCGTCTTCACAAGCGATCACCCATCAAGGTACTGGCCAGGCTTGATGTTGTTTAACTTGGTGATCATACAGGAACCAATGTTTCAACATGATATGGCCATAAACCCCATAAAGAGAAGAGAGATAAAAGAAAGTAGAAAAAAAGAAAAAGAGAAAATTTGATTTGTTTGTTTCAACTCTTTTGGGTTATTTAATGCTGAAATTCAATTTTCTTTGGAGCTTTGAAGTAATAAAATTACTCCCTTGTCTTATGATTTGTATAAATAATATAATAAAATAGAGCATTTTTAAACAAATGACCAGCATCGATATATTTGTAAAAATAAAGCATTCTTTAGCTGCTTCTCTCATAGCCATTTTGCTAATCTTCTTAATTGTCACTGTCGTAAGACAACATCATTACCTCCCCTGACTTATGTTTTGTATAAATAAGTCACGCCATTTTAGCCAAAATGCCAAGACTCTTCAGTTACATTCAATAAAGGCACCTTAAACCAAACTAGATTCCGAGTTTTCATTATAATTTATTGAATGTAATCATGGACAAATAACCTTAAACCAGAACATCTTGACTTGGACTCTGCAGATCTATCTTCTGACAATATTGGAAACGATTATTCAAAGGATTCTTGCCTACACTGGAAAATGATTCATCCATTCCTATTACTGATATGGATAGACTTAACCTGCTAATGCGCCATGTTTCCATATCTGTATATACCAATATTTCTCATTGCAAAACTTATCATGTAAGTGCCATGGACATTTTGGATGGAATTTTTATGAAAATATGAGACATAATCTTCGCCTGGCATATATTAGCAACTACCCGCCAATTCCCTGAAGTGGGATTAGAACACTATCTTCAGCGCTTAAAAAAAATCTTAAGTCGAGACTGTGACTTTCAAGTGACGACAGTAGATCAGGCGAAGGACGAATTTATCAGAGACTCCTTTATAAATGGATTAGAATCAAACTATATTTGTCAAAGATTGCTGAAAGATAAACTAGATTTAGCTACCACTCTCAAGCAGGCACTTACCTTGGAGGTGGTGGAAAAGCAATCTTGTTCATATCTACAAACAAGTTGCAAAAGCTGCACTAAGTACTCACACTATTAATAGTCCACCAGTTCAAAAAACACAAATGTAAAAAAAGACAGTCCTCTATGACAGACTTCCTTGTTTATGCAAAACACCCCACCGCCCGCTCCAGAAGACACTGCTTGTGCTATAGTCAGATGAAAATGTTATTTTTGCTGTCTCAAACTACACCCCCAGTCATGTTGCCCAGCCAGGGAAATAAATGCCACAAATATGGGAACAAGGAGCATTTCTCTAATGTTTGGCAATCAAGTTCTTTTCACCTGGTTCGAATGCTCCTATTGTGACTAGTATTGTATCAACTGCAAACCCTAAATGTTTTTCAAAAGCAATATTAACAGTAAAAATAAAAGGAGTAGAAATGAATGCTCTAGTCAACACAGGAAGCTCAGAGAGTTTTATTAGTGTTGATATTGCAAAAAGAAACAGATTAAAAATCGTACCTTGTAATAATCAGATGGCTATAGTGAATGCGTCACTATCTTTTCAGCTTAGAGGATACATTTGGTCAGCCTAGAGTTGAATCAAACTAACTACGCTAACACCAAATTTTTCGTGATACCAAATCTGTGTTACAATATCATACTGGGCCACGATTTCCTCAAACATCATTCTAGCATTAATCTCCCATTTGGGGACCCTAAACCGGCTTTGAACATCTGTGGTTTGGCTTCTATAAATGTACAATACCCCTCTCTTTTCGAAAACTTAACCAAAAACTGTAAACCAATTGTCACCAAATCTCAAAAATATTCTATTGTAGACAAAACGTTTATTCAAACAGAAATAATAAGAATGTTAAGAGAAGGAATAATTGAAGAAAGTAGATCACCATGGAGGGTGCAAATATTAATAACGTCCTCTGATAATAATAAAAAAGGATGATCATAGACTACTCCCAACTATAAATAGGTACCCCCCACACGCATGCATACACTATACCCCATATTGACAAGATGATAAACGAGATCGCCAAATACAGAATATTTAGCATGTTAGACATAAGGAGTGCTTAGACACTAAAGATAAATCTTAAACGGCTTTTGAAGCCTGTGGACAACTTTATCAGTTCTGATGGATTCCGTTTGGGGTCACTAATGGGGTTTCCAGTTTGCAGAGGGTCCTTGATAAAATAATTCTTGAAGAAAAATTACAAGGCACCTTTGCCTACATAGATAATATGACAGTGTGTGGCCATGACTGAGCCAACCACAGTCACAACCTAAAATAGTTTTTGGCAGCTGTTAAGAAATATAATCTAAATATAAACCATGACAGGAGTTCTTATGAGTCAACAACCATCAGACTACTTGGATATATTGTGGTTAAAGGACCAGACCCTGAATGCCTAAAACCACTGTTAAAACTATCTATTCACAACATCATAGCCGCCTTGTGACAAACCATGGGTATATTCGCTCATTATTCACAATGGATACTCTCCGTTTCTGAAAAAATACACCTACTTATGAAAATTACCAAATTTTCTTTACCTTCTTTTGCCATTAAAACTTTTGAGGGGTTTAAATGAGATATTGCCAACTCAGCCCTCACTGGTGAATCCTGACATTCCCCTAGAAATAGAGACTGACGCTTTCGACCATGCTATAGCTGCTGTGTTAAGGCAATCCAGGCACCCTGTAGCCTTCTTCTCCTGAACATTGTCAAAATCTGAGTGCAGACATTCAGCTGTTGAAAAGGAGGTTTATGCCATAGTAAAGGTGAAAGAAAAATGGCAACATTTCTTAATTGGTCACTGCTTTTAACTGTTTTTTGTTTGATGTTTTCTATCAGTCAGGAAAGGTAAATGCAACGGTGGATGTGCTGTCAAAAGTGTGTGGATCAATAAAGAACACCAAAGATCTGCAAAAAGTTCATAACAATCTCTGTCATCCAGGCATCACGAGGATGCTGCATGTGGTTTGAAGCCGGAATTTGCTTTTTTCAGTTGAGGACGTGAAACAAATAACAAACAATTGTCAGGTTTGATCTTGAATAAAACCACAGTTCTATAAACCTGAACTAGGAACCCTAATAAAAGCTACACCCTTTTGAGAGGCTGAGCATGGACTTTAATGGCCCTCTTGTATCTAAATCCTTAAACAAATATCAACTGTCATTGATGAGTACTCACAATTTCCTTTTGTCTTTCCCTGTCCAGATGTTAATGCAACAACAGTCATATGCTGTCTTTGCTCACTGTTCTCAATATTTGAAGTGCCAGCTTATATTCATACAGATTGCAGGACCTCTTTTATGTCTGACCAACTAAGAAAATTCTTATTGGTACAGAGAGTGGCTGCAAGCTGGATTACCCAATACAATACTCAAGGGAATGGACAGATACAATGAGAGATACAATGGCATAATATGTAAGACTGTACAGTTAGCACTTGAAAACCCAAACTTTCCAATTTGGCATTGGGAAGACATAATAACCAAGGTTCTGTATGGTATAAGGACACTACTGTGTACAAGAACTAATGCAACAACTGATGAAAGTTTTTTAAAATTTCCAAAGTGATGTTCAGCTGGGATCTCGCTTCCTTCTTGGCTTTCACAGCCAGATACTGTTTTACTTAGAAACCATGTCTGACAAAGCAAGTATGATTCTTCTGTGAGTAAGGTGGAACAGTTCAAAGTGAATCCACTCTATATGTGCATCCAGCATCTCCATGGGAGAGAATTGAACATTTTCCTCAGAGATTTGGCCCCTGCTAGTGAGTTATCAAACCAGAGAGAGGAGCAGCTCTCCCATGAAGCAATATATCTCCCTCTTGATAGTAATGGCAACAACAGAATATCATTGGATTTTCCTGAGGAACAAGGGCCCAATAGTGACAATTCAGAGATCGACACCAAAATAGTTCCCTCAAAATGAGAGCATACTATCACAGACCCTGATAATCAGCATTCAGAATCTCACTCCAAGAAGGAGACAAAAACAATATGAGATGAAATACATCTGCCCGAGTGTTCCTGTAACACCTGAAAGCCCAGATCAGCTGTCACTGAGACAATCCCAGAGAATTGTCAAAAGACCCAGTCATAGATGATTTTGCATTGCACTAGGAAAAAACAAAACCAAAGAGAATGTGGTAAGTCAACCCAGTTACCTCCCCTGTCTTATGATTTGTACAAATAAGTCACACCATGTCTGTCTATATCTCTGAGATGAGATACTATGATTACTTGCATTATTTACATTATTTGGACTGTTATCCTCATCTTCATTGCTATATTCGCAATGTTTTGGTTATTGTACATGCTGGCTTTCTTCAGGTGATTGGAATTTCAAACCAAACCCTTTATTTCATCCACCAGGGTAGATTGTTCTAGTTCCATGTGCCATGCCTCTTCTGGATGTCACAGTTATTTCTCCTTAACTCAACTCTCCAAGTTTTGGTTCACCACTGCTGTAGCCTGGTATTGAACTCAGAACTCTTTAGGTGTAGTCACTGCATCTAAGCAATGTCTTTATCTATTGGGCCATGTGTCCTTGAGGATAACAGTCCAAATAATGTAAATAATGCAAGTCACACTGTCTTAGCCAAAATGGCAAGACTCTTCAGTTATGTTCAATAAAGGCACTTTAAGCCAACCTAGGCTCCGAGTTTTCATTACATGATGACAATCACCAAGAATGGTTCATTCTCAAGGAGCCAGTTACAGTAAATAATTGTATAGCCCACAAGGTGATTGGTTAAAACTGGAATATAGCAAACACTTGATTTGCATATGTAAATTAGTTAGTTTTGTCAAATGGCTGCTCAGACATCTCTCACTTTTCCCCCAAAACAACCAGAGTTGGTTACTCCAGATTATAATAATCAGCAGCTTTAATCAATATGCTGTTGCAAACTGATCTTTATCAAATGATGATAACTGTGTGTCTCAGCTTTAACATTTACTGTCATCTGCTTTTACTACCTTTGGTATTGTGGATGTTGGTTGGTGTAGAATTGAACTGAGAAATATAGCAACTGGTAATTAGAAAAAAAAGAATGTTATAAAATATCAAAAGAATAGAATATGAAAATGATAATTTGAAGAAGAAGAACAACAACAGCAAGAAACTGCTCCAATGAACTGCTTTTGCTGGTTCCCATAATTCATGAATTTAGGGCTGGCATGTTGCTCTCACTCTTTCACTGTCGAAACTGTTAAATGTAGCTGTCTCTTCTACTCCAATAGCTTCATGTCTTGCACTTCTCGCCTGTGGAACTCCCTCCCCTTTCCTGTTTCCCTGATAGCTATAATCTCCAACTATTCAAATGTAATATCAATCGACATCTCTAGATGCCTTGATCTATCCCCTATCCTTCTCTTCATCCTTTCTCTATCACTCCTATTTGGTCTCACTCCAACTCTCTGTAACCCCTTGCTTGCTAGTGGCTTCTCGCCTTGCTTTGGGTGAAACACTTAAAAAAAAAAAAAAGGAGGAGGAGGAGGATGGACATCCAGTAGTAATATTATTGAAGGTATGGGGAAATAATGTATAGTGGCTAGGAATGAGGAATTGGAGAGCCGAGTTTGAATTTCTGTTGAATTTGTTAAATCATTTATGTTCAAATACCCTTGGAAAAGGTATGAATACATCTCTTCTCTCTTATCTATGGATAAATAGCAGGAGAGATTGGGTCTTATAGCCTTGGGTGGTAACTGTTTTAGAAGAAGTACAATTCTGAATTCCAAACCTCTAACTATGGGTTATATAGAGTCACCAACCTGTAATTGGCCAGCTACATCCCTGAAGACATGGTAAATCAGGGAGAGGTTCTGCCAACAGAAGAAGGGTCTGGATTTGGAATAATAATAATAATAATAATGTGGTATAATTGAGGATAATAATGAAGACAAAGAAATGAGTGAAGGTGACAAAGACAGTAAAGAAGAACATTATGATGAGGACAGAATAATAATAATAATAATAATAATAAAAAGGAGAAGGACACAGAAAAGGAGAAGAAGAAGAAGAAGAAGAAGAAGAAGAAGAAGAAGAAGGCTGTAATTAGAAAAAGAAGAAAAAGACAAATGAGCCAATCAGTGAAAGTGAAAATAAAATGAAAAAGATAGTGATGAGGCATAAGAATAATAAATAAAAAGAAGATTGATTTGTTTTTTATGGCTTATCAACCTTTTTCATGTTACTTAATGCCAGAAAATATTTTTAGATTGTAAGACCATTTTTTTTGGAATAATAATGATTTACTGATACAAGTCCTACTAATTACCTAAACCATTACATATCTGTATGTAAGTGAATATAACGAACCTGACTGGAAGTGGAACTCAGCTCTCTGATTTCCAATTCCAAACTGTTATCCATTACACCCCCTACCATACATTTAGCACCTGATATTCTCAAACATAACCCATGTAGGTAGTGAACAGGCTCGACATTGATCATACAGGAACCAATGTTTCAACATGATATGGCCATAAGCCTTAAAAAGAAGAGGGAAAAGAAGAAAGCCGACTGATGAGAATGAAAATAGAGAAAAGACGAAGAAAAAATCAATGGAAATGAAATTTATGAAGAATATGATAATGCCAATTAAAAAATAATGCCAATTTGAATTAAGTATAATAATGTTGTAATTAGTGCTAGTGAAAATAATAATATGGCATAATTATCTTCCCCGCAATCCCGTATAAAAAAATTATCCAACCAAGGTTGATTTGTCATAAAAACAACTAAAAAATTATACCCCAAGGAATAAAATGTAACTATGACATTCCTATTATCCTTATTAACTAAATGATAATGTTAATATATTTAGTAACTAAATATATAATGATAATGTTAATATTGATGTATGTCATAATGGTAGACAATGATTGTGACACTAGTTGTAGTGATGGTCTTAATGATTGTGATGATTGGAAAATAAAACCTGACAATTATTTTTGTAGCAGCAGCAGCAACAACAATTCCCTCTTCCTCCTCCTCCTCCTTTCATGAATTTTATTTTTCCCACTTTCAGTAATATCATGATTATTAGTATTTTTACAAAAATAATATAATAATCATAATTATTGCCTCTTATAAGCATCACCACAATTATAGGACAGAAATAGGAACAAATATTAAAAAATAGGCAAATTGATAAAAATATTAAAAAACAGTTAAATTTAATGTTACCTTTGTCCCATAATAGTTGCTACATTTAATGTATAAAATGTGTATACAAATGTAGCAACCATTATAGGACAGAAGTAGTAATAAATACTAAGAAATGGGAAAATTAATAATGACTAAGTCCTTTGTTTTTTACAGCTTATCAACCCTTTGTGGGTTATTTAAAGCTGAAATATATATATTTTGTATAGTAAAACTAATTCCTTTTTTTATTTTTGGCAGTGAATATTGAATTAACAATTTTGGGTAGATAACAATGATTTTTCTCAATACAAATCCTACTATTTAACCCATAGCTGGAGAGAGAAGAGATGGATTCATACCTTTCCCAAAATTATTTGCTGAGAAGTAAATATGATGAACCCAGTTGGAATTCAAACTCAGCTATCTGATTTCCCATTCCACCACCACCTCATCCTAGTAAAATAATAAAAATCTTACAAAATCATATTTTTACTGTCCCAAAAGTTCAAAATTCCCTGATAGTTAATCAGATTGTCAAATACCTGAAGAAGCATTACAAAGAAGGATCTGTAATGTTATCAGTCCCATCACGGCATCTCAAATTCAGTTACTTTCCTCTGTTATGATAGACCAATAATTGTACCCCCATCTTAGATTTTACAATATATTTTTAATACCTTACATATTTGCAATGAGATATGAGAATAGCAGTCGTCTCTTTATTTCATTGAATATGCAGATTATGGAATATTTTTTGTACCCGGTTAAACTAAAGCCAGTTCTTGGAAGAGAACCTTCCTTTCCCCCACCTCCTGTCTGGTCTCTGATTGCAGGCCAGATGAATGCTGCTTGTCTGATAAATACAAATGACCATAAAAGTGTTCAATGGATAACGCCTACTCACTTTCATATGCCAACACCTGACTTAACCCCTAATGTTTTTTTTTCGCACGTGTTGGGATATAACAACTTCAGAGCAATCAGACATCACCAAAATCGGACTTAGCTGTTTGCTTTCAGAGGAATCAGATATCGCTTATTTATTGCCTGTGGAATGCTCTTTCAGACTTTTTTACTTCCCTGTTACCTATCTTCAAATTCTCAAAAATTTAAATGCATTTGTAAAGGTCTGAACTGGTAGAACTGAAGGATAGAGATCATCTAACATTTGCCATGGAAATAGCAATAGAGGGTGAGAATGATAGCCTCATGTCAAAATCTCTCACTTTCACACCAAGGTTTCTTCCCCAACATCCTAGTGTCAGTGGAGTCAACAGGAAAATCAATGTAAGAAAAAAAAAGAAAAATATAGATTAGCTTAAAAGCTGCTATATCTGGATCTGGCCTGGAAAGTTTTTAATTTGTTCACAGTTAGCCTGGTTCCAAAATTGTATGATATCTAAAGAGTAAAGTTGAAGAAGTGTGACACACTGACATTCGCATTTATTATATAGATGTATCTTGGATATAAGTGTAGCATTACAAAAGTGAATTATCTGCCCTTGATTTAGTGATAATTTTATGTACATGTCAAAGGTTAAGAAAAGCATCATTTTACAGTCTGGCATGTGGTGCAAAATCTAAGCCACCTAGAGAGTTGGAGCCAATTTATCAAAGCAGCTGCACATGCACTTCCAATTTTCCATTTTCTCTTATCTTTATATCTGAAGCTAAACCCCATGGACACAGTGATGACCATGTCAAATTATCAAGCAAGATATTAATTCACTATTGTTACACATTTTGTAAATATGTATATGAAGTGTTTTTCTCTCAAACATACATACATATCTGAATTTCTGGGATGGGGAGTTATTTATGTCCTGGATGTTTTTTAAAATCATTTCATCCTAAGGTGATAATACCATTTAAAGTGAAGGGATTACTGAGAGTGAAAGATCATGAGAATTTGTTAGCAAGAGGACAGGACAAAAAAGAACAGCATTCATAAAAACAGAAGGTGGAGATTGAGGTTAAATTTAAATTTTTGAAGATCGCTTGAACTCTACTGATGTTAGGATGATGATGAGAAAGCCTGGGTGTGAAAGGGAGAAGTTTTTTTGCAAACAAACTTTGAAAAGTATTTATTATACTCTGATTCAAATTAGATTTCTTTCTGATTGATGATTCAATCCACATCAAAACCTGTTAGCCAGATATAAATGCTACAAAAGCAAAATTAAAAATATAAATTCATTCTCTGTGCATGGGCTCTGAGCATCACATCTGGCTCAGACCCCCCCCCACTTGCAAAAAAATAAAATATATTAAAAGGAGCCAATCATAAATGTTGCTAAAGCAAAAGCATGACAAAAAAAACACTGAGTTATGTATCCACCTTGACTGCTTAAAAGCACCTGCTTGTGACAGTCAAGACAGTAGGCAGGCAGCCATAGAATTCCTCAGTAGGCATGGGTCAAGCTTCAACACTGACTCCAGGTCACTTCTCTTGGCCACAAAGAGACATTCCAACGTGATCCTCTATATCAGTGGTCCCAAACTTTTTTCTGGGCCACATTTTTGGAATTAAAATTTGCTCACACCTCACCAAATTTTATATGATAAAAAGTACATTTAAAAATAACAGAGAAAGGGTTAAAGGGAGATAACAGTGGATTCAAATTCAAAACATTATTATTGATAACTCTCTCTTCCAATTTGCAAACCCTAGTTGCTATATTCTTAATACTTGATATGATGCAAAAATATCACAATAATGAAATTGGTCAATAATTATTTATGACTATTTATACTGAGACTCATGCATGCAATTACAAGTAATCCATAATAATTTTGAAATCATATTTAATTTTTGTTATATGAATTTTTGTAAACTGTTTCTAAATCTTTGATTTTCTTTCAATCATTCCATCTCCCTTGCTATTCTCCTATGAGGTGCTGCACCATTTGGGAACCACTGCTCTGTATCATCAATACAAAGAATTTTATTTTAACATATTTGGTCTCTTTTTCTTTCTGCTTCACCAATGGTAGTTTGTTGTTTCATTTGTTCTTATGTTCCAATACAGAGTATATAACATGTTCATAATTAAATCTCATTATTTGATATAGTTTGGCCTTTTTCAATAAATACATTTTCTTATAGTACCTGTAATAAATAAATGTCTCTGCAGGTGAGTAGGGTACCTTGTCATAAGTTAGTAAATGGATCACACATTCTTACTACTGACATGTGAGTTTGATCCTCACCAGGTGTCCCAGGCTAGTAGCTTTACGATAGAAGTTAACTTTTCTTAATAAATAACTATTTAAACTTGTAACACACAGGAGTAGATAGGTCTGTCTATCGTCCAGTTCACACTCCTCCCCGGTCTTCTGAACAGGAGTAGTGGTTTATCCCTTGTTTCCTGTTTAGTGTCAGGTTTCAAGTTCCTTCTAGGCTTTTCTTTCTCTTTCACATCTGGTGGCTCTGTGTATCTTGGTGACATTATCACTTTGCTTGGAGTGGTGCCTCTTATGCTGTAACACTCTACTTCAAGTGGCTCTAGGGCTTTGTACAGAATGGACATCATTGTAAAAGAAAACAAAAAAAAAAAAGATCCACAGAGTCAAGTGATTTTTACTGGAATTGGAATGACCAGTAGGTTTTGTGTCTACCAATTGTGTTATCAGTAAAAAAAAGCAACCACCAAATTTTATATGATAAAAAGTACATTTAAGAATAAAAAAAAACAGAGATAAGGTTAAAGGGAGATAACAGCAGAGTCAAAATCAAACCATTATCATAAGTTGGGAAATGGAAAAAGATGCAAAAATAAAGGAATAAAAACTCTTGGGAGCAAGTGACACTTGGTGAGACATTAGGAAATTCCAGTCATGAGCTTATATTGTCAGGTTGCATTCAAGATAAGGGCAAAAGTAAGAAGATATATAGAGTCAGACAAAGTTCTCCCTGACCAAAGAGAAGATCTGGTCTGTTACTTTCATCAGAAAAGACAGTAGCAATAGCAAAGGTGCCAT